TATTTATGATTATGAATGAAAAAAATGTAATGTCTACATTATTATTAGCCGAAAAGCAGCTGAGATGTGCCAAAAATGAAAATAATATAAAATAAAATACAGTCAACATGCGTCTGGCGGTTGTGAAATGTCAGTGAATAAACCCTATATAATTCTATTTGACAGATTATTATTTTTTAACTAACGCAGTCGTGTTTTGCCTTACTTTACTAAATCACAATACAAAGAAATTTACTTATTCAAAAAATTATTTAGAAGTTTCATTGTGTCAAAAATTCATATGTTTGGCATTGGATACGGAATATTTACTCAAGTCAATGGAGCGTTTTGGGTCAGAATTTTTGTACTGTGCTCTAATTTGCATGAATTTTTGGAATTAGGTTCATCTTACTCTCAAGTTTAAAAGTGAAAATAATTTAGACTCCTTTGCCTTAATAATTTTGACATCCCTTCTCAGTGGTGTAATTTTTTTTTTTTTTAAATAACATCGGACATCGATAAAAGAACTAATTATAAGAGAAAAATATTTTATAATGTTTTTCAATAAAGCAAATACTTTTCAAGTTACTGGCTACTAAAAATGCGTCTCTTTTTGGCGCTTTTCATCGTTTTTTTGCAAATATCTCCAAAAATATACATTTTAACTAAAATCATGTAATGAACAAAATTATATCAATTAAATTTTTATTAAATGGATGTTTTTGTGTCCTAGGAACAATGTTAACCCATTCGAGACGGTGATTTTTTCCGAAAAAAGACATAATTAAAATTAATAAAGATTGATTTTAAAAATAATTAGATAATATAAAATCCTTATGTTGCTTTCAAAAATGAACAGAATATAACGTAGTGAATTTTTTTAAGAAATGTAAGTAAGAAAAGTAATGTAATGTAAGAAAAACAAGTCAAAAAAATAAGTTTAATAATGAAGAAAATAATATAAACAAGAAAAATGTTTTTAGAAAAATGAAGAGAATAAAGTAATGTAACTCAGTAATGAAAAACAAAATACAATTTATAAATACATTTTTAGGAAAAAGCACACTGATCTTACTTGGATATTTTCTAAAAATGTAGATTTCGAAAATTCCAAAACAAAATGTTTTGTTTTGTCTCGAATCTCGAATGAGTTAAGACAAATATGAAAAAGCCAAATCGTTCGAAATTTAATTGTTGCATTTGAAGCCATTTGCGGCGGGGTGTTATATTTTATATATTCCATGGGGTTTTATAGTAGTCAAAATAAGCTTTAAAATGAGTACTGTTTAAGGGTCTGTTTCTTTTTCATTTAAATCAAATAGTTTCATCAGTGTCATTTCCAAAAAAATTAGAATTAATCGTATTTCATCTAGAATTAACTTGGTTCAAGAGAATTCAAAATATCACGCAAATTGGAGGAAAAAAAATTCGCAGGGTACACGTTTTTTTCCCTCTATATTTACTGCTATATTATTATTATTGAAAATAATTAATATATAGTACGAGATTATAAAAATTATGAGCAACATTATTGAAGTAATTATTTTGAGTAAAAAAATTCAAGGTGATATTGTACCTTTACCGTGGATACTATATATTAATCATTTCTGAATTTGTTATACTGTTTAAAAGACTGCAATTTCCAATACGTATATCTTATGCTATAAATCACAAAGGCAGACGATGAATTTTTGTGTGTAAAATTTGGAAAATCGATGTTTTAGTCGTGAATAAACAAAAAATCATTTATTCATACACAGGTATGACTAAAAATATTGTCATAACCCTTGGCATTAAAATAAATTGAGATAATGGAAATAAATTTGTTCTAAAAATTGTAGTGTATATTTCTAATATACTATTTCACTGAACATTTATTTGTTTAATAGTCTTACTTGGCTGATTTGAATTTCACAGTATAATTAAAGAGTTAAGTGTAGGTTCTGAGACTCATCATTTTATTTAAAGCAGTTGTACATTTAAGATCACCCATAATATGGATGTATATGCATTTCGGTATAGACTGTTGTATAAAAAACATAATCAATTTTAACTAATTGGTAAATATCACTAAAGGTTATTGAAAAAAAAATGGAACTTTTGAATCGTATACTTGGGTCAAAGCTCCTTTCATTGAGACGTGCTATTAGTTTGGAATTTGTCAAAATCAACAAGTCGAAATAATTTTTTAGCATGTGTTGCAGTGGGTAAACCATCCATATCATTTTATGTTAGCTGCCCCTTTCACTTATATACCATACACTTCTACAATCACATTCACAATCATTTAGTCATTTCTACACTCAAAATGTTCTAGAAATATTTTTTATGGCTTAACAACGCTTGCCGGGCCAGCTAGTATATATATATATATATTAGGGTGGTCCTTAAAAAGGTCCTTGCTCCCAGGGGCTCAAATGGTTCCAAATAGATAAAAAACAATTCTCTGAAAGTTTTAGCTCTTAATATTAACGTTTAGATAGAGCGCAATTCAATCAAAGTTTGTATGGAAAGAGCATGGAAAAATTTTTGAAAGTTTAAAAAAAATGTTTTAGGTGTAACTTAGTAACAAATGAATGAGTTTTATTCATTCATTAGTTCGCTAAATTACATCTAAAAAACATTTTTAAAATTTTTGAAAATTTTTCCATGCTCTTTCCATACAAAACTTTGATTGAATTGCGCTCTATCTAAACGTTAATATTAAGAGCTAAAACTTTCAGAGAATTGTTTTTTATCTATTTGGAACCATTTGAGCCCCTGGGAGCAAGGAAATTCGAAAATGACCATTTTAAGGACCACCCTAATATATATATATATATATATATATATATATATATAAACGAAGTCTAGTAATCGGGCATAACATCAATAAAAAACATGAATTTATTTAAAAAATTTATCAAATAAATTGTCTGGACTGTAATTTAACTTACATAGGAAAAACGAGACAGAAATAATTCAAAAAATCCCAGACAAGTTAAAACAATGTTTGCGGACCACATTAATACTTTAAAACACAATATAGACTTTTTTAACCCGGCTGTACTATAATTCGAACAAAATTTATTTAAGGATCTTTCTTGACTATATTATCACAGATGGCGCAAGAAATTACATAATGACATATGTTAATAATAGGTATGCAAAACTTTTAGTTGAATTGCGCTCTATCTAAATGTTAATATTGAGAGCTAAAACTTTTAGAGAATTTTTTTTATTAATTTGAAAGCATTTGAGCCACTGGGATATTCGAAAGATATTCGAAAATGTCCATATTAAGGACCACCCTAATAAATAAATATATATAAATATACTAGCTAACCCGGCAAATGTTGTTTTGCCATAAAAAATCCGCCTAAATTGATATAAAATTAATAAAAGTGCCAAAAATCAAATATTTAATAGATTTGGACTCTGATTCTTTGACAAATAATTAAAAACTTGTTATAATTTTTAAAATTATTTGACATTTCATACTTCAAAAATTAATTCGCTCGCATCATAGTTTTTTGTTTATTATACTTTTGTCATGTCATATATGTCATTAAAATTTTCTTTCAAATATTATTCATTTGTTAATAAATTAACAATTATTTTAAGTCATCAATGAATAATTATATAATTGTTAAATTCATAAGTTTGGCTAAATCAACACAGGAATATTGTGGAAATAAATATTTTTTTACATAAAGATCTGATTTTTGACATTTGCATTTTATTTCAAATTAATTATAACTGTCAAAATATCTTCTTTTCGGTCAAAATTTAATATAATATGATATAATATTTAGTTTGTCTAGTTTGTTTTTGTCAGATTCCAATGATGCCCTCAGATTGTACTATTCCATTTAAGAGGTTACAATTTTCTGTAAGATTAGCATTTGCGATGACATTCAAAATATATCTTAACTGATATATTAATAATAATATTATATTTTAATTACACAAATTTCTTTGCACTCCGATAAATAATTCCAACGCATCATAGTGTTTTGTTTATTTTAATTTTGTTTATGTCAATTTTTTTTTAAATTAAAGAATAAATTAAATTTTAGTCTAAATCAACGCAGTATCTTTATCTAAATATACAATTTTTTATATAAATATCTGATTTTTTTACATTTGCATTTAATTTGAAAATCGTGAATGTCAATTATATATATCCAATATGCACTAAATTTATAAATGTTAAAATATTTCCTTTTTTGTCGAAAATTAATATAATATGATATAATTTATTTTTCAATAGTGTTTTGTATTTATAATTTGTTTGGCAATATTGCCTATAACATAACTTGGAATAATTAATGTATATTTGCTTCTTATTGAAGTCGTTGAAAATTCAATTTTTTTGAACTGTCAAAATTTTGTCTATGATTAATTTTAAATTCAATACGTCGCTTTTTTATTGTGCCTTCTGATTTATAAGGTTTTAATGAAGTTTTGGTATCCGAAATAATTTGGTAAGCTAATCAAATAAATATAAATTATAAATCTATTTATCTAATTATTTTCATAAATATTGACAAATGACATTTCGCTTTTTTTCATGTCAACATTTATTTAAATTTGTAAACATTGATTTTTAATTAGATTTAAAACTATAAACAATGATTTTGAATATAACATTTCATCTAATTCGGATATAAATACTGGATATATCTATAAATGTACATGCTTTTGAATTTTATTTTTTGATTTTTTTTTTTCAAAAATTATATATCGAAGTTTCCTTAAATTTTGACATTTGTCATTTGTGTTTTTTTTTTTTTTTTGGTCATTTTCTGTCAAAATTTTCAGAAATGCATAAAAATTATATATTTATGTTTCAAATTTCCTTTTCAAAATTTCCTATAACCTAAGTTGGATGTATATGCACACGGTGAGCCAATAAAATTTAAAATCGGTTCAGTAGTTTGGGCGTCCATCGCGAACCAACATCGTTACACGAGATTTATATATATATATATATATATATATATATATATATATATATATATATATATATATCTTATTACTATTATTACCTTTAGGAAAGACACAAATGTAAGTCTCGTTATCCCATCCATCTGCCATAGGCGGATGCATGCATCCGTCGACCAATCGAACACCTCGAATAAATTTCGATTCAGAATGTCTGTACTTCAATCCACAAGAACCAGGGAACTGTGCTGTTAGCGTCGACAAAAGTAGTGTTCCATCTTCTTCAGTCGGAAGCTCAATGGGTTCATCCCCTTCGTCTTCAACCACGCAAACGTATTCAACAGGCATTCTCACCAGAAACACAACATCTGGGGAAGAAAATGGAATAGATACATGTTATAATAGAATTTAAAATCGGTTCAGTAGTTTAGACGTCCATCGCGGACCAACATCGTGACAAAGTTTGTATTTTCTTTGACAAACTCTAAAAAGATTTATCAAAACCCGAATAACCGTTTAGGAGAAGTATAGAATCATACACTCGTACAGAAGAATTTTATATATAAGATATAATATATCTTAATCGTTCATTAAATTAAAAAATTAAAATTTTCTTTGACAAACTCTAGAAAGATTTATCAAAATCCGAATAACCGTTTAGGAGAAGTATCGAATCATACACTTTATATATAAAATATATCTTATATATAAAGTTTTTCTGTACCAGTGTATGTGTTGATACTTTTCCTAAAGGGTTATTCGGATTTTGATAAATCTTTTTAGAGTTTGTTAAGGAAATTTTTAATAATTTAATGAACGTTATAGTTAATTTATTTATATTGTAGAAATGAATGGCAAAAATTACAAAAAACCACCTATCATTGTTTGTCATTAAGGCAATTTGCTGGAACTTCCCGTACTGGAATGAAATGTTCTAAATTAACGGTTATTCGGATTTTGATAAATCTTTTTGAAGTTTGTCAAAGGAAATTTTAATTTTTTAATTTAATGAACGATAAAAATATAGTAATATTGTAAAATGGCAAATATTACAAAAAAAAAACACTTATCATTGTTTGACATTAAGGCAATTTGCTTGAACTTTCCGTACTGGAATGAAATATTCGAAATAAACGGTTATTCGGATTTTGATAAATCTTTTTAGAGTTTGCCAAAAGAATTTTTTGATAATTTGATGAACGATATAGATAATTTAGTTATATTGTAAAAAAAACATCATTTTTGACATTAAGGCACATTTTGAAATTTTCGAAATAAACGGTTATTCGGATTATAATAAATCTTTTTAGAGTTTGTCAAAGGAAATATTTAAGATTTAATGAACGATAGAACTAAAGTAATATTGTAGAAATAAATGGCAAAAATTACAAAAAAACAAACATTATTTTTTAACATTAAAGCAAATTGCTGTAACTTCCCGTACTGGAATGAAATATTCGAAATAAACGGTTATTCGGATTTTGATAAACCTTTTCAGAGTTTGTTAAGGAAATTTTTATGATTTATTGAACGATGGAATTATAGTAATATTGTAGAAATGAATGGTAAAAATTACAAAAAACCACCTATTATTGTTTGACATTAAGGCAAATTGATAGAACTTCCCGTACTGGAATAAAATATTTAAAATAAACGGTTATTCGGATTTTGAAAATTCTTTCTAAAGTTTGTCAAAGGAAATGTTTAATAATTTAATGAACGTTATAATTAATTTAATTATATTGTAGAAATGAATGGCAAAAATTTCAAAAAACCACTTATCATTGTTTGACATTAAGGCAAATTGCTAGAACTTCCCGTACTGGAATAAAATATTCGAAATAAACGGTTATTCGGATTTTGATAAATCTTTTTAGAGTTTGCCAAAGAAAATGTTTAATAATTTGATGAACGTTATAGTTAATTTAGTTATATTGTAAAAATGAATGGCAAAAATTACAAAAAACCACCTATCATTGTTTGACATTAAGGCAAATTGCTGGAACTTCCCATACTGGAATGAAATATTCGAAATAAACGGTTATTCGGATTTTGAAAAATCTTTTTAGAGATAGAACGATATAGATAATTTAGTTATATTGTAAAAAACCACCTATCATTTTTGACATTAAAGCACATTTTGAAATATTCGAAATAAACGGTTATTCGGATTTTGATAATTCTTTTTAGAGTTTGTCAAAAATAAATGGCAAAAATTACAAAAAACCACTTATCATTGTTTGAAATTAAGGCAAATTGCTGGAATTTCCCGTACTGGAATAAAATATTCGATGTAAACGGTTATTCGGATTTTGATAAATCTTTCTAGAGTTTGTTAAGGAAATTTTTAAGATTTAATGAACGATAGAACTATAGTAATATTGTAGAAATAAATGACAAAAACTACAAAAAACCACTTTTCATTGTTTGACATTGAAAGGAATTGCTAGAACTGTCAATTCACTTGAAATTTGAATTTTGCTGTAATTATGAGCCTAGATAATATTTGAATATAATACACAAGAAAAATGTCATATCTACATTATTATTGCCAAAATGCAGCTGAGATGTGCTCGAAATATGTGAATATGTAAATATGTAAATAATTATTTAAACTAATACAAAAAGTAAAAGTAATCTCAAAAAATCATGTCTGTACTCGAAAGTATAGCATGAACAAAAAAGAAGCTTGTAAATGATTCTTTTCTATACTCGAATATTTAAAGAAAAATATTACAAAAATATTACTAATAATCAATAGTATTATTCGTATCAACCTTATGTTCTCCACATATTTATAATCTTATAGAAATGAAATACATAGAACGTTATTTGTAAATTTTTTGGGAACCTAACCTTATTGACTAGTTCTTTGCTTATATATATATATATATATATATATATATATATATATACAGACTTAATTATATATATGGACAAAATAACAGTGACCTTATTTGAAAATTGTTTAGTGTTAGTAACGTTTCCACGATTGTACATTTATAAAGAAGCTATAATCACAATTCTGTTAGACGTTAAATTTCATTATCACAGTAATCATTTCAAATGTGTAAATTGACTTTAATAGTTTATTTCGTGAGAGATTTTTGGTCATGTTCTTTTAAAACTTCATTGTTCATTTGTAATTATTTCTATTAAAATCAATAAATTTATGCCAGTTCTAGTGATTCTTATCAATTTTATTGCAATAATCAGTTAATTTAATTAATTATTCACTGTTGGACAAAATGACATACTTATATAATGCACAAAATTATTTTTTGCTATGTAAAAATTGAAAAAAAATATTTTTTACTATGTTGTAAGTTAGGTCAGTCTCTCCAAAGCCAAGAAAAAAGGTAATTGAAGCCTGTAAAATGTGTTTAGTAATGTAGTTTAGTCTAATTATTTCTAAAAACAAAGCAAAAGATCCACCGATGAAAAGAAAAGTCTTGTTCACTTTTGGGCAAAAGGATTTTGTACTATTTTGTCAGTTAGGTTAGTCCCTTCGAGGCCAAGAAAAATACAATTAAAACCTGTAAAATGTGATTGGGTTTTAATGTTTACTCTAAATACTTCTAAAAACAAAGCAAAAAATCCACCGGTGAAAACAAAAGTCTTGTTCACTTTTGGACAAAATGATTTTGTATAATATATTACTACTATATATATTTGACTCTATAAAAAAAAACAATTTCAAATTTACATATTTAGAAATAAAGCATTGAAAATTATGATTTTCTAATGATTGTATCAGTTGAAAAAAAATGCTCTAAATCTTGATTCATGAAATGAATGAAATCCTCAGCGAAATAGTAAATAAAGTAACTTTGGGATATTCTTAGAACACAAAAATTCTGTGTATAGAAGCCCTTTTTTATATATTCTGTACATTGTATGTCATTTATGTCAGAAAATGCTCTGAGAAAGTGATACAAGAAAAATATGTGTCATACATTTGAGTAACACGTGTAGAATTTGGGGCTCCTTTGCACATTTTGTACTTTTTTGGGGTCTCCTTGGAATTAGCACAGTTGTTTTGTGTTTAAATCTAAAAATAAGGTTTCAGAAAGCCTTGGCAAAGTAAGATAAAATTCATCAGAATGTCTATGATATGTATTTCAGTAATACTTGAAAGTTAGGTTAGTCTCTTCGAGACCAAGGGAAAAGACAATTGAAACCTGTAAAAGGCGATTGGGTTTTAATGTTTACTCAAACTACTTTTAAAAACAAAGCAAACAATCCATCGGTGTAAAGAAAAGTTTTGTTCAATTTTGGACAAAATGATTTTGTACGATTTTGTCAGTTAGGTTAGTCTCTTCGAAGACAAGAAAAAAGGTAATTTAAACCATGTAAAATGAAGAACCAAGGAAAAAGACAATTCCAACCTGTAAAATGTGATTGGGTTTTAATGTTTACTCAAACTACTTCTAAAAACAGACTAAAAGATTCGGTTAAAAGAAAAATCTTATTCACTTTTGGACAAAATGATTTCGTACAATATATTACTACTATATATTTTTGTCTCTATAAAAAAAAAAACAATTTCAAATTTACATATTTAGAAATAAAGCATTGAAAATTATGATTTTCTAATGGTTGTATCAGTTGAAAAAAAACGCTCTAGGAATCTTGATTCATGAAATGAATGAAATCCTCAGCGAAATAGTAAATAAAGTAATTTTGGGGTATTCTTAGAACACAAAAATTCTGTGTACAGAAGCCCTTTTTTATATATTCTGTACATTGTATGTCATTTATGTCAGAAAATGCTCTGAGAAAATGATACAAGAAAAATATGTGTCATACATTTGAGTAACACGTGTAGAATTTGGGGCTCCTTGTCCAAATGAAATGAAATACCTGTGCACATTTTGTACTTTTTTTGGAGTCTTCTTGAAATTAACACAGATGTTTTGTGTTTAAATCTAAAATTAAGGTTTCAAAAGCCTTGGCAAAGTAAGATAAAATTCATCAGAATGTCTATAATATGTATATCAGTAATACTTGTAAGTTAGGTTAGTCTCTTCGAAGCCAAGAAAAGACAATTATAACCTGTAAAATGTGTTTAGAAATGTAGTTTAGTCTAATTAGACCAAAAGATCCACCGGTCTAAAGAAAAGTCTTGTTCACTGGACAAAATGATTTTGTACTTTTTTGTCAGTTAGGTTAGTCTCTTCGAGGCCAAGAAAAAAGACAATTAAAACCTGTAAACTGTTATTATTTTATGGGTTTTTACAATTATTTATAAAAATTATATAAAATTGAAAATGTAAGAGACTACCTTGTGAGCAGTGTAAAGATAATCCAGTATTACCAAAATGTAATAAATCTCAAACATTTTAATAACTCAATTTGATTGTGTATAATTTGTTATTAGTAAATTTTTATGAATTGCATTAAAATTTATGTGACTGTAACTTCTTTTAGAAACAAAGCAAAAGATCCACCGGTGAAACAAAAGTCTTGTTCACTGGACAAAATGATTTTGTACTATTTTGTCAGTTAGGTTAGTCTCTTAAAAGACAAGAAAAAAGACAATTGAAACCTGTAAAATGTGTTTAGATTTTAATTTATACTCAAACTAGTCCTAAAAACAAAGCAAAAGATCTACCGGTAAAAAGAAAAGTTGAACAAAATGATTTTGTACTATTTTGTCAGTTAGGTTAGTACATTCGAAGACAAGAAAAATGAAAATTTTTGTTGACATTTCTGTAAAATGTGATTGGATTTTATTGTTTACTCAAACTACTTTTAAAAACAGACCAAAAGATGCACCGGTGTAAAGAAAAGTCTTGTTCACTGGACAAAATGATTTTGTACTATTTTGTCAGTTAGGTTAGTCCCTTCAAAAACAAGAAAAAAGACAATTGAAACCTGTAAAATGTGATTGGGTTTTAATTTTTAGTCTAATTACTTCTAAAAACAGGCCAAAAGATCCACCGGTGCAAAGAAAAGTCTTGTTCACTTGATAAAATGATTTTGTTCTATTTTGTCAGTTAGGTTAGTCTATTCGAGACCAAGAAAAAAAACAATTAAAACCTGTCAAATGTGTTTAGGTTTTTAAGGTTTACTCAAAATACTTCTAAAAACAGACCAAAAAATGCATTGGTAAAAAAAAAGTCTTGTTCACTTTTGGACAAAATGATTTTGTACTATTTTGTCAGTTAGGTTAGTCTCTTCGAGGCAAAAAACAAAACAAAAATCAAAGCTTCTAGAAAATAATTGAGCTTAAAATTTTACTATAACAACTCTTAGAGACAAACCAAAAGAGTCACCAGTAAAAAGGATAGTTAAATTTATTGCAAAATCCTCTTTTTATGTTCTGATTCTGGTAAAGGTTCTTTACAATGTATGATTTATTTCCTTTAGGCTAAAAGTGTCTTCTTAAAAATTAGCATCTCAGTATGTCCTCAATTTATTTTATATGTCATTTTGTCTGTACTATATAAACAAAAAAGGTTTTTGTAATTATTTGCATTTTTCTTTAACAAATATGTTATTATATTAGTATACTGGTAGTCGATGAATCTAAGTTGGATGAAAACAATAGTGACTGATTATAATGTCATGAAATATAAAAATATCATTAAAAAACTAAAGCAACATGTTATTTTGTCCATACTTTCCCTTTATATATATGTATATATGCCAATATATACACAAATTGATCATTTTGCAATTGTTTATAAAAATGTTGAATCTTTCAACCAAACAACAATGACATAAAATTGTGTCAAAAACCTACTACCCACAAACCCTAAATAAAAACCTTGTTTTTATTTTCCTTTTACCCCATATAACTATTATAAGCAAATAAAATAATTCTATTCCCATCATTTGTGTGTTAAAAAAAACATTGACATATATACAAGTGACATTTGTGTTAAATTTTCAACTGCACTTAATGCACGATTAATAAACCAACTAATGGATGATATTTACACAATTATTCCAATGAAATATTATAAACACTTTTGCATTTTTCACTTTTAGCTACACATTCACGATCAATAGGTTTTTTTACGATTTATTACACCAAGTCGTATATAGATGAACAAAATGGCGACATTTGACACAGAGACACTCTGGCGGTAATTAGGGGAACTATTGTTGGGCGCGGTAAATTTGAATTTGAAATTGAAAAATAGAATGGAATGTTAAGTGAAAATATAAATGATAAATAAATAAATAAATAAATAATATATATATTTATATATATATATACTAGCTGGCCCGGCAAATGTTGCTTACTTTTAGTTTAAATAATATTTTTAGATTACTTTTAGTATAAAAAATATCTATTTTTTTATTTTTATTTATTTAAACTGTGGGGATCAAGCAGGCTGGTCATGATTGAGTAAAAACATTTGGACTTGTCATTTTATATTTTTTATATCAGAATATTTTATAATGAATAAAATTTATATATTTTTTATACGTTGGGAGTTTATAATTTAATATATTTTCATAATAATTACAACTCCCACAAAACAATATATATTTAATGCAAGATATGTTTTTAAATTGCAAAAATAAACTAGTTATATATGGCATCATGTCTTAAGGCAAATTCTTGATATTTCCCGTACCAAATTGAAAATTTGTTTTACTTTCGATATTCAAACAAATTTTTTTTTGAAAATGAAAAAAAAAATTTTGAAAGAAAATATTTTCTTCCCAAAAACGATCGTTTCGACAACACAAGCGGAAAGTTTTTTGAATCATTCAAATCGGACGCTTAGTTCACTCAAAAACTGTCATTTTTTGCACATTTAGCTCTGTATCTTCGAAATGGCGGAACCTGTCTTTTCCAAAACTAATCACCTCTTCTCCCAATTATTACAAATTGAAAGTTTTTTAGATCATTAAAATCGGATGCCCCGTTCTCTTAAAAACACGATTTTTATTTTCTGCACTTTTTGCTCCGTATCTCCAAAACGGCTAGACCTGCCTTTGCCAAAAACTAATAAGCACATCTTTTTATAAATAGAAATCGAAAGCAAAAATGTTCAGAAACCTTTGAAACGTAGAAGATATGCAAACATTTTTAATTCGATTTTTCAAAAGTTTCAATTCAGCGATTTTTAGACAATTACAATAACTTACCCCACAAAAAATGTATATTTAATGGAATTCATATATATTATTTATATAAAAATAATTTATCAACAGATAGATTTTGTTTACTCAATTTTGCAATGTCAAATAAATGAACTACATTTGTTTTACAAAATTTGTATTCATTTTGTTTTTACATCAGCACAAAAATTTATTTAACACAAATGCATTTTTTCCAAATATTTTTAACGTAATTATCATTTCACTCTGCATATACAGAAAACAATAAATGTTTCAACAGGATCCCAAAAAAATTATAAAAGTAATCCAATCCAAATTTATGGACTGTACCGCAAGACCATACATTCAGAATATGTCATAGCAAACTATGATAGGTTCTAAGGGCATGGACACATCAATCGGCTGCATCAATTGGAGAAGACAAGTATTACAATAAAATTTCCGAAATAAAGTTTACCCTTGTAGAACCAGAATCAATCGGCAGTAATGAACCAAATTGATGGATGATCCAAAAAATATGACACCAGGAACTTGGTGAGCGTACACTCCAAATAAAGAAGTCCTAATAATCCATGAGAAACATTATCATAATGTTTGACCTACGTAGAACCAGAATCAGGATGGTATTGGGGTACCAAATTGATGGGTTCTCTGGAGAATAATCCAAAAAGTATGACACCAGAAACTTGGTGAGCATACACTCCAAATAAGGCAGTCCTAATAATCCACGAGAAACATCCTCTAATGGTGATCCTTGTAGAACCAGAATCAATTGGCAGTGACGAACCAAATTGATGGAGGATTATCCAAAAAAATACTTCAGGAACATGGTGAAGACAAACTATGGCACACACCAAATGATCTTTTGTTTGTCTAATAATCGTCTAATGGTGATGCACGTGGAACCAGACTCAAGAAGAAATTATTTACCAAATTCATAGGTTCTCTGGTAGATGATCCAATATATGACAGCGGGAACTTGGTGAGGACAAACTATCGACTCGACTACGATGATTCATGCAGAACCAAAATCAAGAAGTAATCACTTACCAAATTCAAGGGTTCTCAAAAGTACAATCCAAAACCTGATTGGGTGAGCAAACTATCCTAGAAATCTGACTCCTTTGTTCCAAATGAAGAAGTACAACCACAACCACAAGAAGGTTTTCTGGTAGATTTTATAAGGGATCTTGGTACTTCTGGATGGAGCAGCCTTTGGTGTGGAGTTCAAAAGATTAAATTTGATTAGTTAAATTCACACTCATAGTAATTGGGTCCATCGAAGATTTAAGAAGACTTCATGTTTTAGGAATCAAATGAATATACTTCCTCGTTGGTTAGATGAATTCTTGCCTAACAATAATTGGATCCATCGAAGATTAAGGTTAAAAGACTTCATGTTTCAGGAATGAATATACTTCCTCGTTGATTTTATAAAGGATCTTGGTACCTCTGGATGGAGCAGCCTTTGATGTGAAATTTAGAAGATTAATTTTGATTAGATGAATTCTTTCCTGACGATAATTGTGTCCTTTAAGTAGATGGAAGTGGTTGGAAGTTTCCAAAATCTATTTGGAAGTAACAGGTTTTCCTTTTGTCGTCATCAATTGGCTATGTGGGGTAGCAAATTGATGGATATCTTTTTTATCTAAGACGGTTAACTGCAATGACAAGTGTCTTGGAAAACAACTGTTTTGTGAAGACTTCCAACAACCTAGATCTATTAAATAAACATTTTTACATTGGATATATTTTATGTAAATATAGTGAAGAATTATGTGTGAGTTTTTCTACCCTAGGGTATTCTACCCAAAAATTTCTAGTTTTATATTACTTCCATTGACTATTAATAGTCAATATAAATTTATATTTATACAATTTTTTATACATTAGAAAAGGACAAAAAAAGGAGAAAAGTACTATTAAATAAATTAACTGTATTTAATTTTTATGTATTTTTGAACCAGGAACTAAAAAATAATTTACCACAATTTTATTTGTATTTAATTTTTATGTATTTGTTTCGATAATAAATTTTATTCTTACCTATTGTTTTTAGTATCAGTGTGTTTTTTTAGCGGATTTAAATTTACAATTTGGAAAATTTTGGTTTCATTAAATTTTGTCTAAAATTTATTTTTTATAAAAATATTGATGACTTGTTAGCGTTCTTTTGTTTTTGTATAAAAATTACATGAGCACTTTAGATGAGGAAATTTAGGTTTATACATTTGTTTTTCACTTTGTGAGCATAAATTTAAACTAGGCTTGAGGAAAATTGCTGGAATTCCTGCAGCGTATAATGAAATGTTTGGGGAATATTAAATGTTTTCAAATATATTATTACAAATTCTGTAACTTTCATTATTTTTGCTATCTTGTTATATCTGACAATGAGCAAATCAAATGTAAATCATAAATCAATCAATTTATCTCCAGAACATTAACAATCATCATTTCATTTCGAATTCAATTTAAAAAAAAAAAAAATAGTTGCTTAACTGTGCTTAGCTTGCCGACATTTTCAAATTTTTTAATAGTTTTCACAAAATTGAAAAAGTGCTCCAGTACTAAACCCACTTGGGTAAACATTTGTACCAGGGTGGCGATCAGACTGTGCTTAGCCTGAGTAATTTTTTGAATTTTTAATCCAAAATTACAAAAATATTTTATGAAAAATAAAAAAATATAAAATAATTTTTTATCCTCGAAAGCAATTGTTTTGTCAATACAAGCAGAAAGTTTTTTAGATCATTCAAATCGGACGCTTAGTTCTCTCAAAAACTCGATTTTTATTTTCGGCACTCTTTGCTCTGTATCTCCGTAACGGCTGGACCTGCCTTTGCCAAAAACTAATCAGCACATCTCCCTATCAATAGGGATCGAATGTTTTTTAAACCATTAAAATCGGTTGAACCTTGCGCCCGAAAACGTGAACGAAAAAATGTTCAGAAACTTTTAAAACGTAAAGGTATTTAAATTTTTGAGAGAACGGAGCATCCGATTTGAATAATATAAAAAAAATTAAATTTGTAATGATGAGAAGTGGTGATTGGATTTTGACAAAGACAGGTCTAGCCGTTTCGGAAATACCGAGCTAAATGTGCAAAAAATTGCTGTTTTTAAGAAAACTAAGCATCTGATTTGAATGATTCAAAACACTTTCTGCTTGTTTTGACTAAAAAAAATTTATTTAATTTTTTTTGTATATCGAAAATAATTATTTTAATTCTAGCTAAAGTTCTAAAGCACACTCATAAACTTTAAATAAATAATTTTAACTTAGTAATTCAGTTTATATAAATCTTATAAATATTCAACAATGTTACATTATTTATAATAATCTATTTGAAAACATTTAATATTCCTCGAATATTTCATTACGGTACGGGAAGTTCCAGCAATTTGCCTTGAGGCACGATGCCATACACCACTAATTTAAATTTTGTGCTCATAACAAATGTATAAAACCTAAATATCCTCATCCAAAGCGCCCATATAATTTTTATTCAAAAACAAAAGAAGGGCCATCAAGTCGTCAAAACACATTTATAAAAAATAAATTTTGGACAAAATTTAATCAAAACCAAATTGTAACCAAAATTTTCTAAATTGTACAGTTAAATCCGCTAAAAAAAACACACTGATACTAAAACCAATAGGTGAGAATAAAATTTATTATTAAAACAAATACATAAAAATTAAATACAAATAAAATTGTGGTAAATTATTTTTTAGTTCCTGGTTCAAAAATACATAAAAATTAAATACATTTAATTTATATAATAGTACTTTTCTCCTTTTTTTGTTCTTGTCTAATGTATAAAAAATTGTATAAATATAAATAGTCAATGGAAGTAATATCAAACTAGAAAATTTTTAGTAGAATACCCTAGGGTAGAAAAACTCACACATAATTCACTGTATTTACATAAAATGTATCCAATGTAAAATGTTTATTTAATAGTTCTAGGTTGTTGGAAGTCTTCACAAAACAGTTGTTTTCCAAGACACTTGTCATTGCATGTGTACTCTGCCTTAGACAAAAACAAGATGTTCATCAATTTGCTACCCCTAATAGCAAATTGATGACGACAAGAGGAAAACCTGTTACTTCCTATAGATTTTGTAAACTTCCAACCACTTCCATCGACTTAAAGGACACAATTATCGTCAGGAAAGAATTCTTCTAATCAAAATTAATCTTCTAAATTTCACACCAAGAGCTGCTCCACCCAGAAGTAGCAAGATCCTTTATAAAATCAACGATGAAGTATATTCATTTGCTTTCTGAGACATAAACCTAATCTTTGACGAACCCAAATTATTGTTAGGCAAGAATTCATCTAATCGAATATAATATTTTGCACTTTACACTAAAAGGGCTGCTCCATCCAGATGTACCAAGATTCTTTATAAAATCAACGAGGTGATATATTCATTCCAATATATTCGTTCCTGAAACATGAAGTCTTTTAACCTTAATCTTCGATGGACCCAATTATTGTTAGGCAAGAATTCATCTAAACAACGAGGAAGTATATTCATTTGATTCCTGAAACATGAAGTCTTCTAACCTTAATCTTTAATGGACCCAATTACTATGAGTGTGAATTCAACTAATCAAAGTTAATCTTTCGAACTCCACACCAAAGGCTGCTCCATCCAGAAGTACCAAGATCCCTTATAAAATCTACCAGAAAACCTTCTTGTGGTTGTGGTTGTACTTCTTCATTTGGAACAAAGAAGTCAGGTTTCTAGGATAGTTTGCTCACCCAATCAGGTTTTGGATTGTACTTTTGAGAACCCTTGAATTTCGTACTTGATTACTTCTTGATTTTGGTTCTGCATGAATCATCGTAGTCGAGTCGATAGTTTGTGATCACGAAGTTCCTGGTGTCATATATTGGGTCATCTACCAGAGAACCCATCAATTTGGTAAATGATTTCTTCTTGAGTCTGGTTCAACGTGCATCACCATTAGACGATTATTAGACAAACAAAAGATCATTTGGTGTGTGCTATAGTTTGTCTTCACCATGTTCCTGATGTAATTTTCTGGATAATCCTCCATCAATTTGGTTCATCACTGCCAATTGATTCTGGTTCTACAAGGATCACCATTAGAAGTTGTTTTTCGTGGATTATTAGTACCATCAATTTGGTAAGTGACTACCTCCTGATTCTGGTTCTACAAGGGTCAACTTTATTCAGGAAATTTTATTGTAATACTTGTCTTCTCCAATTGATGCAGCCGATGGATGTGTCCATGCCCTTAGATCCTATGATAGTTTGCTATGTCATATTTTGAATGTATATCTTGCGGTACACTTTATAAATTTGGATTGGATTACTTTTATAATTTTTTTCGGGATCCTATTGAAGAATTTATTGTTTTCTGTATATGCAGAGTCAAATGATGATTACGGTAAAAAAATTTGGAAAAAAATTCATTTGTGTTAAATAATTTTTGTGCTGATGTAAAAACAAAATGAATAAAAATTTTGTAAAACAAATGTAGTACATCATTGCTATTTGATAATTGTCAAAATTGAGTAAACAAAATCTATGTCTTGTTTTTCGAAAATAAAATTTATCATTTTTACATATTATTATATAACTAACTAGCAAACCCGACGAACTCCGTTTCGCCACCAGATGGTTTCGTGAGAAAGATGAAGAAATTTTTTGTTTGTTTTATATTTGAAAAGGAAAAATTTGATTTTATTATACAACAGTAATGAATTTATTTCGATTACAAAAATGAAGTTTGTTTTTTAGTTGAACTTCTCTAAGTAAATGAAAGTGAATCCGCAAATTATCCGTTTCATTGAAGTGCTCTTTGGTAAACCACATTTTTTGTTTTTTGGTCTGATGTTAACACAAACAAAGCGGATGGTTTCCCGACTCGTAAACATGTAACGTATAACTGCCCATGTGAAACACAATGATTTTCTAAATAATCTATTTGAAATTTATCCCGCAAACACTAAGCGATTGGCCTTGCGACTTGTTATTGCAAACTAGAAATTGCAATCGTTTGAAGTCAAACGGAAGACCAATCGGAATCATTGGTATGCCACCAAATCGCCAGCAATGTTTGATTGAATGGTGAAATTCAGTGCGTGTACATCATTATTCTTTCCGGCAAGAATTGCTCGTTGACTTAACCAAGTATAGTTCTGATAAACCTCACTAATGTCATTACTCTAATTTTTACTTACTGTGCGTGAAGTTCCAGCAGCTTGCATTAAGGCACGATGCCATGCACAACTAATTTTCTTGGCTATAAACCTTGCGGAGCACGAGACCTTTCCAACGAATGCAAAATTGTCGAAATCGGTTTGTGCGTTCTGGAGTTATTTCGTCAGGAAGGAAAACCCGACTTATTTTTATATATATAAAAGATTATAACTAATTAATCTTTATGCATTTATATTCTAACTTTACTAACTATATGAATCAATGTTGAAAAATCATGTAAATTAATTTCCCATTGTTTTTTCAAACGTGGCGGCATGTTCGAGCCTCACAAATTTTATTAATCCATCTCTCTCTACCAGACATAACTAGTTGGTATTGGTATTTAGCCTTGAGGTAAGTTACATGAACTTCCCGATATGTGTAAATAATCGACTTAATCAATAAGAAATATATTAATTTATGAGTGATTAAAAGTATTTCGAGTGGATTTATTACACATAATTGAAAATGAACGAACGAATACCTTAACTCGGAGTATTCTCTTAAAGCAAATTTTCACAAATTGATAATTTTTATAATTGAACCAGTTTTTGTAGGAATTTAATAATTTAGTATGTTCATTAAGACCAAGTACTCTATCGTTAAACCAAGTAAATCGTATAATTTTAATTTTAACAAACGTCAACAAAACTACTCATTTTCTCAAACTTTGATGAATTTTTAAAATTAAACTACTTGTCGTAAGACCATAATATTTCAGTAAGTTCTATAAGATCATGATATATATCGCTAAAAAAAGTTCCATAAAAATCGGCTTAAATTTTTTTTTCAACAACGAATTACAAGAAAACGGCTCGATTGATCTTTACCTAAAACTAATCAGCATCAATCCCAAATGATATCTTTCGGACAGTTTTTGATTTTTTAAAATCGATTCGGTAGAATGAGCTTAAATGTGGACGAAAAGTTTAACACTTTTTTTTAAATTATAAAGAAACGGCTTGGCAGATCGTCGCGCAAAATTGATAAAAGCTAGTCCTCATCGAGATACATCGAATGGCATTTAAATTTTTGAAATCAGTCCAGCAGTTCGGTTGAGGCGTTTTTGAGAAAATGTCGATGAAATGTATGATTTTGACAGATGCCAAAAAAAATATACTAATTTTTGCAAACTTTGACGAATTTTCAAAGCTAAACCAATAGCCGCAGGGCCGTAATATTTTAATATGATCTAGAAGACTATGGTATCTACCGTCAAAAAAAAAATAAAAATCGTCGAAATTTTTTATTAACACTTTATTACAAGAAGACGGCCCGGCCGATCTTCACCAAAAACTAATCAGCACGATTCCTAACCAATATCTTTCGAACGAATTTTCAGAATCGATTCAAAATTGCGGGCTAAAACGTGGACGAAAAGTTTAACACTTTTTTTAAATTATAAAGAAACGTCTCGGCCGATCGTCGCACAAAACTAACAAACGATAGTTCTCGTCGAGATACATCGAATGGCTTTTAAATTTTTGAAATCGGTCCAGCGGTTTTTGAGAAAACGGCGATTTACGGTAAAATATCGGTTCACACACACAGATACACATATGCATACTTTTTCCGAATTTGGTCTCATTCGATTCAGAACGGCTTGAGAAAACATAAAATAAGCGAATCGGATTTTTTGATGAAAACATAATTACTTCTCCTTCTGAAAGCTAATAATTTTATTGTTATATAATGTTATACCTTTTGCACCTACATTAGATTAGTACGACCTCACGGAACAGGGATTTGTGATAGGAAGGTGGAAATTTAGGGCTCCATGTTTTTCAAACAATTTCATTCTCAATACTAACATATTATATCATATACTTAATTACAAAATAAATCTACAATGGCCCACACATCTCCATCAATCTATAAGGATTACAACCGCTCATAAAATGCAGTTCTTTTTCGGCCTGCGAATCTTGCGTCTGCAACCACAGTCTGTCCCTATAGTATTGCATAACACTTGCAAATTCTTTATCATTATAACCCTTTATTTCCACCGGTATAAAAGGGTCTAGATGTTCAAAACCTTCTTTACCCAAAAGATATCTAGGTAAATGTGATTCTTGGCTTTCTTTGGGTACCGCGTGCTGGTCGACGATTACTACGGATAAACCATTACACTAAAAAAAAATTACATTAAAAAATTAAAAAAAAAAAAATTAAAAAAATGAGAAAGAATTATGTTATTGGGTGGTTTATTATTATTTTTCTTACCCAATCGAAGTTGGTGATGTCTAAGAATGGTGTGGTTATTGTAACTTTTGCCGGCGGTACAAATTGTTTATTGTCGCCTTTTATTATTGAATGTGTGTGCCAAAGTGCATTGTAGCCGTCGATTGCCACAAAGGTTTTGCACCTAAAATATATAAATAAATTAAAGAGATTTATATTTAAAAAAAAAGAGTGCGCGTAAGGATCACACGCGATTGAAGTAAAACTTATTTGCAATTATATTGTAGCAAATTTAAGTTGAGTAAAAATAAATACATCATATAAAAATTTTGAATAAGGTTTATTAGTAATATGGTAACACTCGTGATGCACACATTTATTAGTGTCGTCAATCATTATACACATTTATATAAAGATAAATTATAAATTATATATTTATGATTACATTAAAAATATGTACAATATTTACAAACAATAATGTAATCAAAGTCGTACTTGAAATATGACATGATCGTTTTAAAGTAATTGCTGATTAATAAATTCTATAATATTCATTTACACAGTGGATTATGTTAAACAACGCCTAAACAAATATTGTTTTTGCAAATTAACTCATCCTGTAACAATTGTGTTTGAAGAACTTCATGTAATTAAAATTAACATACATTCATTTACTGTTTGTATTTTTTTACTTTTTCGCTGACGATATAATCTCATTCCTTGAACAGCTGTAATATCCGTCTTGCCTAAAAAATTGAAGCCATACTTTTATATTTGTTTTATTTATCAAGCCTTGCACATAGCTTGATCTATGAATCATTTTCTTTTTTATGTGAACGTTAATGCAATGATCATCATCAATAATACGAGGTAATAAATTAACCATATTATTAATGTCAACAGGCACATTTATAATTTGGCCAAACATTCCAAATTGTCCATTTGCATGTCGCAATCGTCTAATTTGCATGAAATACAACCTAGGTGTGAAATTAACCTTTCAGATACAGTATCTAGTTTAGGTAGATAATTTGTTATAGGTGGAAATACAAAACCGTTAAACTTACACAAAGTGGGAATTTTACCCGAATTTAATATCTTTCGACAAGTTTGACATCCAACCTGATTATTTAAATCAGTATTCAAAAAACATTATTAAGAATTTGTTTTTGAGCATCATTTGATATTTCTAAGCCACTTTGAAGCCAAAGTCGATCACACACAAAACATCCATAGCCAAAGCTATCATTTCTTACGCAGCGCAGATTTTTCTTTAGTTTCATTATTTATTTGCGATCATTTGCACTACAATTATTTATGGGGGACGGGATAAAATATTATTCCGATCCTGACATTTTTATTAACTCACGAATTATACTGCTAACCCATGTCGCGCCTAAAGAAGTTTTACTTCAAAAAATGTTTAGACACTACGAGCTAAATACAAAACTCAAGTGAAAGTCGACACATTTTGTTTTGTTTTTGACATATGATTTGATATTTGATGTATTTTTTGTTTTGCTCGCATACTAGATCGAATAATGACGATAGCTGCGCTTACTAGCGTCGTAGTCTTCAACTTCGCGTTGGCGTTTTCGTTGCATTTGTACGGATTTACACCAGTGTCGCGCCTAAAGAAGTTTTACTTCAAAAAAATCTTCAAAAAGCATATTATGTCTTTATGACGAAATAATTGATTGTCATACAAATATAAAATGATGTCTCATGAATTAATTAATAGTGATGAATCAATTTATTTGATTATATTGTAGACATTTAAGTGATCCGATTTTTGCCATATTTATAATAATTATTATATATATATATATATATATATATATATATATATATTATGTCTACTAAGTATTTGATTTAATTTACTTCAGTATATCAAATTTGAAAAATTAATGTAAAAACATATAAATGAAATGATAAATTTAAATTATCTGATTCGAAACTATCTATAAATGTAATATATAAGAAACAATAAATAGTGACTGATTTTTTGAATATTATTCCATATTATTATTATGTATATGTACCTATATGTATCTTTACATATTAAATGTATATAAATTATAGGTCTAATGTATTTCATATATTTAACTAGTAAACCATAGGAAAATATTATAAAACTACAAGACAAAATTAACAAGAAGGTTGTACTAAGTAGAGAAAATACTAAAGTCTGCATTTGAAGTATGGGTTATTCAAAATTTTGATATGCAAGTATATATATCCAGTTTTACTGGATATTAGTAAATTTTATCTAGTTTTTGCTAATGTAAATATATTATGATGTTCTAGAAGAAAATTAAAAGTTATTAGGAGAAATGTGAAAAAATGTTTCAGATTCATATATGTAATGCAAATTATGAAAGTGTTAATATTACGTATTGCAAAATACGTGTTATTCAAAATTTTGATATGAAAGTGTATATAACAGTTTTTACTAGATTTGCGTAAATTTTATTTAGTTTACAATAATGTAAATAAATTATGATGTCCTAGAAGAAAATTAAAAGTTATTTGCAAACACGTAAAAAAATGTGCTAAATCCTTATATTAGTTTGTCAAATATCACCCTTCCGCCTTTTGCCGTCTTTTGAATTTCAAGCAAAAAAGCGGAAGGGAGATATTTGACAACCTAATATGTATGTAATGCAAATTATGAAGGTGTTAATGTTTGCCTTTCAACTACAGATTATTCAAAATTTTGATATCCAAGTGTATATAACTGTTTACATTAAAGTTTAGTAAATTTTATTTAAGTTTTACTAATGTGGACAAATTATAATGTCCTAGAAGAAAATTAAAAGCTATTTCAACAAAGTAAATTGTCCAGAATCATATGTGTGGCTAATTATAAAAAAATCAAAGTCTACATTTCAACTACAAATTATTCAAAATTCTGATATCCAAGTGTATATAGCAGTTTTTACTAAATTTTAGTAAATTTTATCTGGTTTTAACTAATGTATATAAATTTGGAAGTTCGGAATAAAAATCTTAAGACTTTTTAAAAAATATAAAAAATGTCCCAAATTCACACATTGCTAATTATCAAAATAGTAAAATAAACAACAAAAAACCAAATCTAGATAAAAACTATCAACCAACTCTTTCATTACCACATGTAAATTGATTTTAAAATAAGTAACTTTCAAACAAGTAAAATATTTTTTACGCAAGTATTTTTACCCGCCCCGATTATACTACTAAAAATACATCATACCTTCCTTCAGTCGACTGTTGTTTTAATTCCTTAAACAGCACCGATATACATTCACTGGCATATTTAACTCTATTAATACCATGTTCGACAATTGCCATCAATGGAGAATCCTTTGGAGTCACTTCACGTTTGCTCCAGACGTAATCTTTGGAAGTCTTAAGCTACAAAATAGTAAAAACAACCATAAGTCTTTATCCAAATGAAACAGAAAATATTATATATATATATATATATATATATATATATGTATATATATATATATATATATATATATATATATATATATGTATATATATATATATGTATATATATATATATATATATATATGTATATATATATGTATATATATATATATATATATATATATATATATATATACAGTACAGGCCAAAAGTTTCCGGACACATGAAAAAAATCTCATTTTCTGAGTTTTTAGCTATATTTTTCATATAAAAATAATTTTATTCCAGTTAGTTTTGTACATTCTACGTAGTATTAATATTTAGTGACTGAATTGTAACCAATTTGTGAGAAATGATAGACTAATTAGCAATGAAAATGTTAAAATGTCACTGCAGTCGATTTTCGTGAATATGACCACCCTTTGCTTTGATCACTGCAGCGCATATTTTTGGTAATCTTTCGACGAGTTTTTGCAATGTTTGCGCAGGTATGTTCTTCCAGGACTCGTTAAGGCAATTCGACAGGGCAGGGAGGCTGGTTGGATGCAAATCAGTCAGACAAATGCACAACAGTTCTGCACAGATCCGGCGATTGTGCAGGCCTCTCCATTATTTGAAATATTTTTTCGTCTTGTTTTCGCTTCAAATAATTGGCACAGAGTCGGGAAGTGTGTTTAGGGTCATTATCTTTTTGAAAAATAAATTTTGGACCAATTAAATTAAGACCAGATGGAATGGCGTGGCTCTGAAGTATGCTATGGCATGGTATGCTATGGTGTTATCTCTTTAAAGTTCCATGTATTTTGACAAGCGATCAGACTCTATTGAATCCAAAACAACCCCAAGCCATCACTGAATCACCACCATTATGAATGTACAAAACTAACTGGAATAAAATTATTTTTATATGAAAAATATAGCTAAAAACTCAGAAAATGAGATTTTTTTCATGTGTCCGGAAACTTTTGGCCTGTACTGTATATACGAGTATATATATATATATATATATATATATAATATCACCCACATCTAATTCTTTTAGCAAAGTACTATTTTGTGTCTGAAAATGGAAAAGCCAAGCTGCTGCGTCTATGGGAAGATCCATAAATCCTTCGTGTATAGTTGAGTTGTTGTATTCTTTGGGACGTATAAACCAATTAGGCACTAAAGAAAACAAAATTTGTTACCTATTGAATTATATATTAATATTTTTTAATACTTTGTTTTTATCGTACCCCATGGAACATGTACAATGATGAATTTCTTTTCGTAAGCATAATGTATGAGGTGAGCCAATGCCAGGGATTTTCCACAACCTAATTTTCCATCTGAAAGAAACAAAAAAAAATGTTATGAAAAAGTTAATTGAGTGTGGTGTACCTCAAGGAATAGTGCTAAGGCCACTATTATATTTATTATATGTTACAATTTAATTATTTAAAGAATAAAATAAATTCATTTTTACAAAAAAAAAAAAGACAAACTCAAAATTTTTATGAGGATATTTAAATAGAAGAAGAGAAAAATATATTTTGGGTACTGTAGTAAATTATGAACAAGAGTGATATAAATAATTAACAAAAAAAACAAAATAAAAGATTTACTATTTTTTGTGAGTATTAAATAATAATTATAAGAAAATACAACATTTTATGAGTTTCAACTAAGAGTTATTCAAAATTTCAATATCCAAGTGTATATAACAGTTTATACTAGATTTTAGTAAATTTTATCTAGTTTTCAATAATGTAAGCAAATTATAATGCCTGGAAAAAAAATTTAAAGTTATTTGCAGAAATGTAAAAAAATGGCCTGAATTCATATATGAAGTATTCATTATATAAAGTCTGCATTTCGACTATGAATTATTCAAAATTTCAATATCCAAGTGTATATAACAGATTTTAGTAAATTTTATCTAGTTTTCAATAATGTAAATAAATCAGTATGCCATAGAAGAAAGTTACAAGATATTTAAAAAAATGTAAAAAAACATCCTAAATCCACATATTACTAATTATTTGATACACAAGTGTGTCAAAAATGATATTGAAGCTTTTTAGTAAACTAGTTGGTTTGGTATTTAGCCTTGAGGCAAGTTACATGAACTTCCCGATATGAGTAAATAATCGACTTAATCAATAAATACTAATTTAATTTATGAGTGATTAAAAGTATTCCGAGTGGATTTATTACACATAATTGAAAACAAACAAACAGATTAACTCAGAGTATTTTCTAAAAGTAAAGAAATCAATAATTTTTATAATTGAACCAGTTTCCAGAACTTCAATGGTTTATTATGTTCAAGACCAAGTACTCTATCATTATACCAAGTAAATAGTCTTATTTTAATTTTAACAAATGTCAAAAGAACTACTCATTTTCTCAAACTTTGATAAATTTTTAAAATCAAACTATTAGTCGTAAAGCCGTAATATTTTAGTAAATTCTATAAGACCATGGTATATATCGCTAAAAAAAATTCCATAAAAATCGGCTTAAATTTTTTTTCAAGAGTTAATTACAAGAAAACGGCTCGGTAGATTTTCACCTAAAACTAATCAGTACCATTCCCAACTAATATCTTTCGAACAGTTTTTGATTTTTTAAAATCGGTTCGGTAGGATGAGCTTAAATGTGGACGAAAAGTTTAACACTTTTCTTCAAATTACAAAGAAACGGCTTGGCAGATCGTCGCCCAAAACTGACAAATGATAGTCCTCGCCGAAATACATCAAATGGCTTTTAAATTTCTGAAACCGGTTCAGGCGTTTTTGAGAAAACGTCGATCAAAGGTCTAATTTTGACAAATGTCAAAACAACGATACCAATTTTTGCAAACTTTGACGAATTTTTAAAGCTGAACCAGTTGTCGTAGGGCCGTAATATTTTAGTATGATCTAGAAGACTATGGTATCTACCGTCAAAAAAATAATCAAAAATCGTCGAATTTTTTTTTTTAAAACTTTATTACAAGAGAACGGCCCGGCCGATCTCAACCAAAAACTAATCAGCACGATTCCCAACCAATATCTTTCGAATGGTTTTTGAATTTTCAAAATCGGTTCAGAATTGCGGACTAAAACGTGGACGAAAAAATTTTCACGTTTGTGCGATTTATAAAGAAACGGCTTGGCCGATCGTCGCACAATAGTTCTCGTCGAGATTAATCGAATGGCTTTTAAATTTTTGAAATCGGCCCAGCCGTTTTCGAGAAAACGTCACACACACACACACACACACATACTTTTTCCAAATTTGGTGTCATTCGATTCAGAATGGCCTGAAACGTCGAGAAAACATAAAATTAGCGAATCGGATTTATTGATGAAAACATAAACTTCTGCTTCGGGAAGTTAAAAATTAACAAATATTATAATTATTATTATATTAAATTTGTATATTTTACTTACACATTACAAATCTCAATGCAGGTTTACTATAATTCATTTTCTCCATATATTCCATTATTTCGATTGTAGGCTCTCTAACCATCAGACAAGCTTCGTTGAAAGTTTTCACCTTTTTAATAGAAAAAAACAGAAAAAAAATTAATAAAATCATTTATATATATATATATATATATATATATATATATATGAAAAAGTTTTGGGATCATATATATGGAAAAGTTTTTTTCCATAATTTTCAAAAAAATTTCTATCATTTTTAATATCCTGTTAGATAATCCACTCATTTATTTTTATCTATTTCATTTTGATCATATTATCATATTTCTGTACATTATTATTTTTTGCAATTAATTTATTATTTAAAAAAAATCCATTTTCTTTTCTTAAACATATTGTTTGCTTAAATCTCATCAAGATCATGTTTCTTGACAGATGTCCTGAAGATGGAACGTACCTAGTTCCGAAACGTCGACAGTAAATAAATAAATAAATAAAGAAATTGTTTATTAAAAAACTTTTCTTGTTTTTTATTACTTTTGGATTCTTGTTCGAAACTCTATAAAATATACACAAATCCAAGACTCTACCATTTAATATAAATAAATATATATATATATATATATATATATATATATATATACATACATGTATGTATATTTGTTAAATTACCTGTTTTTGAAATGATTTAGGAAATCCTCCTGTATTAAATAATTGTTTATGTAAACTCGGTTGCATAGTGTAAAAGTGTCCACAATGTGATCTATTATGATTTATCTGAAATAGTAATCAAATATTACACAAAATCATTCAATTAATAAAAATCATAATTGTTAAGTTAAATATTTTGTTCAGTTTTTGCATTTTATATTATCTTAATTCCAAAAATTCCAATTTTATCTTATATTTTAATCCAAACTATTTTGTTACAGCTTTACTGTTTTTTTACCTATAAATACATAATTATAAATTATACACATTTGTGTGCAATTTTCAAATTTACATTAAAGCTGATCAATTATTTAAAGAATAATTAATTTATTTATTTATAATTATTTTTTAAAATACATATTCATAAGTCAGAAATTTAATTTTTGAAACAAACAACCAAAAAGAATCTTTTTAAAAACATAAGAAACGACCAAAGAGTTTTTGTATCGGTCCAAAGAAATAGTAATTTAAAATCTTACAGGATTATTTTCTAACGTCCTGAAATCTGCATTTGGACTTGCGGCTGGTTCTGCTAATGTGGACATTGGGGAAGCGACACATTGTCGAAGAACTGGCCCTGTACGTCTTAGAACTGAAAAATTCTACAAAAAAATAAAATAAATAAATAAAATCATAATAATAAAACTCTATTAGATTTTGCCACTATAATAAAACACTTTTAGAATGTAGATATGATATATATATATATATATATATATATATATATATATATAAACGTGTATATATAATGCTTTAAATTTAAAAGTCAACTTTTACTCAAAGTGCTTCAATACAAATAAGCAAACAAAAATTTGACATTTATATTAAAAATCACATTTATTAACCGTTGTAACATTAAACTAAACATAATTAATTGTTTTATGCAACAAATCTGTATAAAATAAAATAAATAAAGCACTATTAAAATGTAGATATGATATATCAGAATACTATTTGTAAAATGATTCGATTGTAATGGATTTATTTTGTATATTGTTATTGTTTTACTTTGTCGAAGCACTATAGATATAAAATATAAACTGTATAAAGCTGTTATAAGTATATCTCATATATATATATATATATATATATATATATATATATATTATTGTCATTAGGTTAATCTTGAGTTGTTCATATATATCATTGATATTAATATAGTTTTATTATAATATTGTGATAAAAATAATAAATGTATTGACGTAAATTGTAAATATTGAATTTAAATAAAGTATCTATCTATATATCATACAAATTCATATGTGAAACTTTAAATTCATATGTGAACTTTTACTCAAAGTGTTTCATACAAATAAGCGAACATAAATTTGACATTTATGACTAATAATTATATCAATTAACTATAATAATATAAAACTAACCTTGATTAATTGTTTTATGCTTTAAATATTAATAAAGACCTTAAATTTATGTACTGTTATAATAAAACTAATATATATTCTGTTTACATTTAACATTTCTAGATGTCAAAAGTGAGGTTATGTTATAAGTGCCTTCATATATAAATTTATATATATATATATATATATATATATATATATATATGAATATATATTTATATTGTGTATATAAAATATATCTAAAATATTTTAAATTAATATAACATCACATTTTATCTTTTATGTCAAATGCTTCAATATAAGTAAAACAATTTTTATTACTACAAATAAAAATGTTTACTAATTATACTAACCATAATTAATTATTTTTTTGCTTTAAATATTCATAAACACATTAAACTAATTTTTCACTACTATATTTTATTATTCTCGTGCAACTTTTAACATTTTTAGACATACAAAAAGTGAGGTTAGGTTTTATCGAAGTTTGTTCGACATGAAGTTAGATGCACAGATTGACAATAGATGACACCAGGTTAGACAGTTTGAAAAATATATTTTGAATTTGTTAAATTTATTAAATTAATTTATCAAATAAATAAAAATTTAACAAATTATTTTATACTTTTTTACATGTGTCATAATTTAGCAAATAAAATATAGACTAGTGGTGCATGTCATTTCATGGCATTGCGCCTTTTTTGAACTGAAATTATTTTATGTTTAATGTTAAATATAATATTTTGCTTTTATGTTGTGATTTATAATCTTTTAATGGCATTTTAGTATCTGAAGTAACATGGTATGTAAATCATATTTAAATCATAAATTGATTTATTTCGCAGATTCCATAAATATTGACAACTGTCATTTCACATTGTTTTGTTTTCTTTTAGTTTGTAACTGTCAAAATTTATTGATATTTCTAAAAATTATATATTCTTAATATAAAATTTAATGTTGAATATAACCTATTACCTAAGTTGCATATAAATGCACATGGTGAGCCAAAAAATTTAAAATCGGTTCAGTAGTTTAGGAGTCTATTCCGGACAAACATCGTAATTAATTTTTTGACGTTGAGTTCTGGGACAACCTGTATATATTACATTTCATGAATAAATATATAATGTGACTAAGTATATGTTGAGTTTTGGGATACCCTGTATATATTTTATTCTGCTGTAATTCTTCAAAATAAACATATAATGTGACTATATTATACATACACGTCTTTGTTCAGTATTGGTGGTTACTTTGCCTTTTTTAATTTTATTTCCTTGACGTTGAGTTCTGGGATACCCTGTATATATTTCATTCTACTGTAATTTTCCAGAATAAATATATAACGTGACAATATTACTCACGTCTTTTGTTTAGTATAGGTGGTTACTTTGCCTTTTTTAATTTTATATCCTTGACGTTGAGTTCTGGGACACCCTATATATATTAGAGTGATCCTTAATATGGTCATTTTCGATTTTTTTGCTCCCAAGGGCTCAAATGCTTCTAAATTAATGAAAAAACTGTCTAAAAGTTTTAGCTCTCAATATTACCATTTAGATAGTCCGCGATTTAATTAAAAGTTTCGTATATTTATTACTAACATCTGTCATTAAGTAAATTCTTGTGCCATCTGTGATAGCATTTGTGAACTCAAATATTATGACTTTTGAAAATATTTATAATTCACTTAACCTCGAATTAAATCCATGTGGACTGTTTAACGAAATATTTTTTCATCATGGCATCAAAATTAATTTTGCAGCAAGATATTTTTTTAATTAGTGAAGTTGTCACTCAAATTATCAGTAATAAATTGCCATCAAAATTACAAGTCTGCTATCACAGATGTGCGCAAGAATTTACTTAATGATATTTGTTTAAAAAATATACAATAAATAAAATATAAAAAGTTTTAATTGAATTGAGGACTATTTAAATGTTAATATTGAGAGCTAAAACTTTTAGACGATTTTCTTTTATTACTTTGGAAGCATTTGAGCCCTTAGAAGCTAAAAATTTGAAAATGTCCATATTAAGGACCACACTAATATCTAAATATATATAAAAATAAGTCAGATTTTCCTTCCTGACGACATAACTTCAGAACGCACGAACAGATTTCGACAATTTTGCATTCGTTGGAAAGGTCTCAGGCACCGCAAGGTTTATAGCTAAGATAATTAGTTGTGCATGGCGTCGTGCCTCAATGCAAATTGCTGGAACTTCACTCACCATAATTAAAAATTCGAGTAATGACATTAGTGAAAATTATCAGAATTATGCTTGGTCAAGTCAACGAGCAATTCTTGCCGCAAATAATAATGATGTACACGCACTGAATTTCACTATTCAATCAAAAATTGCTGGCGATTTGGTGACATGCCAATGATTCCGACTGGTCTTCCGTTTGACTTCAAACGATTGTAATTTCCAGTTCGCCTTGCGTTCGCAATGACAATTAACAGGTCGCAAGGCCAATCGCTTAGTGTTTGCGGGATAAGTTTCAAATATATTATTTAGAAAATCATTGTTTTTCACATGGGCAGTTATACGTTGAGTTGGAAAACCATCCAGTTTGTTTGTGTTAACGTCAGACCAAAAAACAAAAAATGTGATTTACCAAAGAGCACTTCAATGAAACGGATAATTTGCGGATTCACTTTCATTTACATAGAGAAATACAACTAAAAACACTTCATTTTTGTAATCGAAATAAATTCATTACTGTTGTATAATAAAATTAAATTTTTCCTTTGCATATATAAAACAAACAAACAATTTCTTCATTTTTTTCACAAAACTATCTGGTGGCGAAACGGAGTTTGTCGAGTTTGCTAGTATATATATATATATATATATATATATATATGTGTGTATATTCTTATCCACATATAAAACAATAAAGAAAATTCCTCGTTATTATTCTGCACTCGCAACTCCTTTGCAGAACTCCTTTTTAATTTTCATTCCTTTTGCGTGTTGCATTTCATTTTCGTTCCTTATTTAATTCGATTTTTATATCCTTTATTTTTTTTTACTCTTTGCCGATCCGAGCTGACACGAACTTTAATTTGTTCTTCTCGTAATTTCAAAGTAACAACGTTTTTATGACTCCTGATCGCCGATTTTTATTTTTTCCCGTATACTAGAGTATACACTCGGTCATAATTTTGTATGCACTTTGTTTCTTGTTGCTGCAACAGATTTTGTAGGAAAACAAATTTTTTTTTGTTTTATTTTTTTTTCTCGACATTTTTATGTTTATTTTTGTAGCTCTGGCCGCGGTTTAAAGATTATGTTCATTTTCCGCGTCCTAGAACATGATGAGAGAATAGTTTGAGGGCTGGGTGAGAGGAAGATTAAGTAATAACTAGTGGTGTACGTCATCGTGCCTTAAGGCAAATTTCTGGAACTTCCCGTACGGTCATAAAATATTCGAGAAATTTTAAACGTTTTCAAATATATTATATTACAAATACTGTAACTTTCATTATTTTTGCTATCTTGTTTGTTATATCTGAGCTAGTTAAATGTAAATCGTAAATCATAAATCAATTTATCTCCAGAACATTAACAATCGTCATTTCATTTCGAATTCAATTTCAAAAAAATTTGAAAGTTGTCTAATTTGCACAAAATTGAAAAAGTGCTCCCGTACAGTCACAGTCTAAACGCATTTGCAAATAATTCTGTGTGACATTTCCACTTATACTGTGTTTAGCTTGGCGGCATTTTTACATTTTTCAACATAGTTTTCACAAAATTGGAAAAGTGCTCCAGTACATAAACAGTCTAAACGCACTTGCAAAAACATTTGTACGAGAGTGGCGCTTAGACTGTGCTTAGCCTGGAATTTTTTATCCAAAATTACAAAAATATTTTATGGAAAATAAAAAAAGATGTAATAATTTTTTTTCCAAAAGTAATTATTTTGTCAATACTAGCAGAAAGTTTTTTCAGATCATTTATATCAGACGCTTAGTTCTCTCAAAAACTACAATTTTTGCACATTTAGCTCTGTATCTTCGAAATGGCGAGACCTGCCTTTGACAAAAACTAATCGCCTCTTCTCCCAATCATTACAAATTGAATGTTTTTTAGATCATTCAAATCAGATACTCCGTTCTCTCAAAAACTTGATTTGTATTGTCTACACTCTTTGCTCCGTATCTCCGTAGGGGCTGAACCTGCCTTTGGCAAAAACTAATCAGCAACTCTTCCTATCAATATAAATC